TTGTCTTTAAGTTTAGATTGACGAAAACTGGTGTCAAGGTTGAAAAGCAAATGCTTTTTAGACTTTTTCACGTACTTTATAAAAATAAGAAGATGTGGTATAATTGCCAATGAGACATCTCTCAACCAGAGACCAAATGACACGGAATTCAACTGATATAGGTCACCGTACGGTCTTCAACAATGCGAAATACCCATTCCCCATAGTCAGCTACAAAAGACCCCGAAATGACAAATGTAAAACTATTCAAACGTGGAAACTAACGGTCTGATTTATGTATAAAATGATGAACGAAAAACAAATGATATACAGCAACAAACGACAACCACTAAATTATAGGCTCCTGACTTGGGACATGTACATACATAATGTGAAGGGTTTAAACTAGTTGGAAGACGCCAACCCTCCTCTAGCCTGGGACAGTGATTTAACAGTACAACATAAGAACAAACTATAAAAATCAGTTGAAAAGGGCTTAACTCATCAGATCGATACAAAGCAGAAATACATCTAACAAAAATACAGACCGGACGTGGCAAGGTACTTATTCATCCCCACAATGAAACGAAACTAAATACAGATCTGAATTCTGAATATTTGCTTGCATACAGTCGCACGTCTTCAGTTTTTTTTTTAGAGTATCTTCATGTGATTGAAAAAGCCTTTAGAGTAGGTAGATTTACGGTTACCTGACGCCAAGTTCCGATTGCCTATCAAATACTTGTTATATAATTTATAAAAAGGTTTCGTGGAGAAATTGGCAGAACCAGCAATAAAACCTTCTTGAAAGGACACTGGTTTAATTTGAGTTTGCAAGTATATGGACGTGTGATCCAATTCGTGAAATATGGTTGAAATTCCAAAGCAATAAAACAGTTCAATGATCATTCAGGATTTGATTATTTGTTCTTTGGAGAACAGTTTATATTTAAGTAGGAATGTTAACTCGGTGAACAATTACTAATCAAGTACTCGTTGGTTTTATTCGAGCGATACTCGATTACTCGCTCGGGAATATAATCTACAACACGGAAACACAAAACATACGTATTTTATTTTCTGTGGTTTTTTGTTCAACGGACGAAAAACCATTTGGATAATCCCATCGAAACAAAAGATATTTTATTTACCAGTATGATTAATCAGTGATGCCTATTTAATTTTTCAGAAAGAAGGTCAATTTTATATAAAGAAGACAGCAATATTCTAACAGGAAACCGATTAGTCCAGTATCGTTTTAATATTCGATACTCAGTACTACCGAGCGATACTCGAATACTCGAGTACTCGTTGACATTCCTAATATTAAGTTTCAAAATGAATTGTCAAGACCTAATTCCTTTATCAAGCAGTTTATGAAATGTGGAAGACAAACAAACTATATTGTTCAGGGCTTACAACGGGGACAATAGCATATTTGTCATGAAGTTTGTCGGTTGTTAAGCAATATTTAGGTCTTTGAAAAAAGACATAGCACAACTGTTCAAAAACACATATTGTGGTATATTTTAATTTGTATTAACAACCTCACATTCTCATCCACAGTGTCTACTTCGTCATACATTACATAGAATTGAATTAAAATTTTCTCTGTAAACATTTTTGTTTTGCGAAGACCAATTCAACTATTTTTTAGTTTTTCAATGTTTTTATTTTAGGAAAGGGTGGAAAAGGGAGGGGAAGATATATTGTTAAAATACATTTTGAAAGAAAAAAAAAACATATTTGTTTCATGAGGAGAGAAGAGTTGGGGGATTCAACATGGATTTTTAAAAATGTTCATGTATGTTATTGAAACAATTGTTTTTTTTTATTATTGTAATAAAAAATGGCTTGTCCAACGAAGATGAATGGTCGTTACCTTATTGATTTAGAGAACTTTGAAAGTACTAATAATGTCACGATTACGCAAGCTCAAATAGTGTAACAAAAGGGAGAAAAGGGGATTTTGAAAATGATTGATTGATTGCTGGCTGCTTAACGTCTAATGACAAATAATTCACAATAAATACAATAGGTAGGTCCTGTAACAGAGGCCGTCTGAGATGAACATCAAGGCAATTTGCAGTGTCATTTGAAAATGGCAGTATATTTGATTTGGACAGACATTTGGCCACCTACGGACCCTCCAGAGAGTTGTTGCAAAGCTTCTCAACGTGCAGAGAACGTGGCGCGCTCTCTACACGAGGCATCGTACTGAATGTCCCAATTCTGACCAGACGTGGCTGAGTACTTGTACATTCCACACAGCCAAACGAACGGCCCACTTTGCGAGGGTTTTACGGCCGATCGAATGAAGACCAAAGTGAAAATGGGGTGATTTTGGAAATGAACAGACGTGACTAGAACTAACTGCAAACAAAAAAAATTGTCAAAGAAATAATGAAAATAAATTTTTGTCTTACAAAATGCAGAACTTTGCAAGAAAAAGTAATGTACAAAAAGTGAAAATAATTTTCGCGCTAAATAATAAAACCGTAGTGAAAACCGGTGTAAAATGGTATTCTATAAGCAAACAATGCACCCTCCTACTAAAGATCAAATGGTCCACTAGGCTTTTAATTTAATGTTTTTAAGGTAGCTGAGGTGTATTCCTCCATCTTGGATTTTGAAATAGCAGATAACAATCGGTCTAGATCTTTAATGAAATGTGCAAATTTCGAGAGTAGTACACCGCTACTTTAGTACAAGTAATCTTGATGTACAGTTCTAAAGATGCATGTCAAATGTACATCTGTAAAGCTGTATATAAACTGTACAGTGTAAAGCTGTATATAAACTGTACATCTGTGAAGTTGTATATAAACTGTATTTCTGTAAAACTTTATATAAACTGTGGATCAATATCGTATCACACACGATGCAATGGTAGAATCTATATAATGAGCTTATACACAGATTTAAAAATGTGCAGTCAATGTACATTTTTACAGAGCAGCAGTTTATATACAGCTTTAAAAATGTATAGTTTATATACAGTATTACAAATGTACATTTTATATACAGCTTAACAGATGTACAGTTTATATACAGCTTTACAGGTGTACAGTTTATATACAGCTTTACAGCTGTGCAGTTTGTATACAGCTTTACAGATGTATATTTTATATGCACCTTTAAAACTGTACATCAAGATTACTTGTACTAAAGTAGCTGTGTATGTAGTTCATGTGTAAGACTTTTCATGTTAATATAAAAAGTTACGCGTTTTATCATATTTACGGCTGTATTATACAAAAAACAGAATATGTTTGTTTTATTTATTTTTTTTCAACTATGCCACATAAGGGGAGATAACTCAAATAAAGTAACTTTTATAATAGAATGTTTTGTGAATTCACCTATTTTATTATGTAGCAAGAAAACGAGTCCAGTGATCCAATGTTTTCTTTTTCTTATCTGAAAGAATATTATTAGAGCTATCTTTTCATATTTTATCTTATAATTCTTTGGTGTAACTTTCTTTTTCTCACACAAATAAGTTTTCCATGCATAATCTATACAACATGTGACAATTTTGCACAACCTGTGGCGTGAAAAAAGCCCGGTTACCCATTATTTTTTATTATATTTTTGAAAAAAGCATAAAAAAATTACATTTTATTAAAAAATGCTATATTTTCTTTTAATTTAGACCCCGCATCTACCTAAACTGAGGATTTTTTTATGTTTTGACATATAAATAACTTAATGCATAATATTATTAAAATCATTTGTATTCAATATATGTAACTTCCGAAAATATCCATAATAAAATCTAATTTCACAATATCTATTTTAGTGTACACTTAATCCACACAAGGTCTACATTGACTATCGACTGCATGTAATGAAAACCTGTTTTAACTGCATGTAAACATTGATTTCTATCAATAGGAACGTAATAGAGTTTAGTTTAAATATCGAGTACACTTACACCACACAGGGTTAGCTCAATGAGAACGCGGCCTAAGACAGCGAAAACATTTCGCTAGTAATATGAGACAGACATATCGTATCGATCAACAAATTCGTCATGTGGACCGTAAAACTTCTGAAGTGTTGAATTACAGTCATTCTTTTAAGCACTTTAATGTTATAAAAAATCTCTGTTTACGCAGTTTGTATAGTTTATTATGAACGCATATATCAATTAAGATATGTAACGACCATAAGTAGGGGCAGAAAGTATGTAAGTGCTCAGAAATGGGAAGTTGACACTTTTGTCAGAGGGATAATGAGAAAAAAATCAATATATAAAATGTGTGATTCTAGTTTCGATTGTATCTTTCATCTCAAGTTAACTGCAATTTATGAGAAGCAAGTGCTCATTGAAATCTTGGTTAAAGAACGACACATATCATAAATAAATACAAAAATGAAACTAAAGAAGTTTGCAGGATGCGTTTTGTCTTTGATAATGTTTAATATAAAATCTACTTCATAAGAGTACAAAAAGGTCATATTTTACAGTAGAAATATGATTCATTGATTGATTAATAAATATTTGCTCAACGTACATTGGCAAATATGTTATGCATGTTCAGAACGGGAACAAATTAACAAAAAATACAATAGATAGGTTTTGTAATAGAGGTTGGCCAGGATGGAGGTCAGGATCGATTGCCACTGGAAAATGAGAGTATTTTGGAAAGGGATCGAAATTTGCTCCACTTTGGTAAGGGTTTTCTGCGGGTTGGAAGAAGACTAAAATGATTATATATCCAGTTTATTAATAACTTCACACATTATTTCGGTTTACTGATACCGTTTAACAACTGTTTACCAACCAGAACTAAATATATTAAAGTTAAAGTGTTAAGTAATTAAAAAAAAAACATCGGTGAGAAGGCAATTGTGTTTTGAAAACAAAATTATTGACGCACTTTCCACCCTCTGTGTATTACTATGAGTAATTCTTATGGGCCTTTTAATCTAACAAGCAGTTTATTACGGTCGGATGCTTGTGAAGAGTCATATCGATATTTTAAAGGTACAATTTTCGTACTTTTGTTAGTTTACAAGATCGGTTTGCATACACAACTTGGAACTTATTTTCACATACAGTAAGTTTTAGCATTAGTATTCATCTAGAACTGCCATTTATTTGCTTGTAATCTGGTGAATAATGCAAATTAAAAAAAGTATGAAGTCAATGCCTCATTAGAAATCATGATAAAAGACAAGAGAAGGGTACTACAATGTATAATTACAAACAAAACATTAATTCACGAAAGGAATGACAGATATCCTACAGATCATTATAAATTTTATATCCACAAAGTGTAGCAGAAACATTTCGCTCTTATGCATACACATATATGAATACATAACAATCATATTGTCCTTTTTGATTTTATACAGAAATTACGATAATATGAGATTTTAGAATCATTGCGTGTTTTTAAGAACAGCTTAATAGTTAAATATGTATTGTTAATTCTTTTGTGTTTCAGACAAAACTTGATATTATACATCTTTTTGTCTGGAAAAATATGTTAATGTTGCCTATATAGACCTCTGTTTATGTGTATCATTCATAATGAAATTTGTTGTAAAAATGAGTCGATGTGCAAAAAAAATCTTTCCCTATATAATTTTGATATATTGATTACACAGATTATTATAAGAAGACACAAACCTATTCCTAAATATATTTAGAGTAATAATTGCTCGAACTGTGCTTTAATCATGACTCTAGTGTGTATTTCATCTATTTGACCCCTACAATGCAAAGACACTTACGTACAAAACGAATTCATTAGAACAAATATCTTGAATATAAAAGTTATTACAAATTTGACAAATATCACATGAACGCAACAAAATTTAAATACATGCCCCAACAGACATCTTTGGATATAATAATAATCATTACTTTAATTTCCTTTGCAATCGATTGTCGCATACAATTACAGGTACATGTCACCCATGAGTAGCTAATCAGTGATATGAGATAATAATATGCATAATTGCATGGTAATTAGCTCTATCAGGTTTTTTTTAATCAAGCGTTTACTGCATAGCAATTAGCTCACGGAGTGTGGTTTGTTCGAAAATAATAATTGTAATTTGAGTATAATTATGGATATAAACACAAATTTTGATATCAACAAGCATAATAGAAAAAGAGGCTAAACTGATATAAACTATTCCTCTGTTAATACATTTTTTCGGAGTGATGGCAAAACCACTTTGATGGAAGTATCTTGGTTCAGTTAAACGCATATGCAAAGTAGTATCATCCGTAACAATGGTTCATTTCCATTTGGTCAAATTGAATGGTATATTGTTTTCAGTGTACTTTGTATGGCATGAATTGTAATTTTGTATCCATAGGCTTGTAATATATATCCCGTGGTAGTTTTCCTGAATGGCAATTTAAAAGTAAGACACAAAAAAAATCTATCCAGCTTTGGAAAGTATATGTCTTTGTTAATATTATTTTATATATGCTAAAATTTTGTTGGTCATTGTTTTCATCTGCGTCGCAAACGTGGAAAGCAGGTCTATTAACAGCACGACTCCGACCGTCCTTCCAAACGACTTTGGATAGAAAACTTTCGGCAAAGTTTCTTCAAGTTTTCCCGGCTTTATGAAAAGGAGTGATTTTATATTCAGTATACAGCTTTATAATGTTTGAGTTGTACCGTTTTATTATTTTTGACAACCTGTGCATCCACTTCTTTTTTGCCGATAGATTGCAATTTTACAACACTCATTGTACAAGGAAAATGTTCGTCAACTTTGCTTGGCTTCTATGGAATAATTTATATTTTTCCTGCAGCTTGATTTATTAGCTTTACAACCAGGTTTTATTCACCATTTTCTTAGGAAAATGCCTGTTTCAAGTCAGGAATTGACAGTTGATTTCCATTCGTTCTGTTGGTTGATATTGTCGAGCGTCTGATTTTATCAGGTTATATGGACTTTCCCTTTTTCAATTTACCTTGGATTTATTTGTTTGATAAAGGTGCGATGAAGCAAGCAAGCAATTTGCAAAACTGCCATGCAGCAACTTCCGGTTTACCGATAGTTTGAAATTTGACAACATGGAAAATTTTCATCAAATTTTTCGTGGTTTTTAATGAAGGGAAGATTATTTTATATTTAGACTGCGGCTTGATAATGGTCCGTTGTAGTTTATATGCAATTTTTGCACCTGCCTTGCAGTCACTTTCTGTTTGCCGGTAGCTTGAAATGTTTTAAAACTCATTGTTCAGGGAAAATTGTCATCAAACTTTTCTAGGCTTTGATGATATTGGGGGATGATCAGTAATGTTTCAGTATACATGCTACCTTAATCAGTTGCATGCAGCGACACGTACATACAGAGTTTTGGTCTTTTTATTACATAAGATGAAGGAATTACCAAGAAATCTTTTCTAGATAGTGTCTATTAATTGTCTAGATGCGAAACCGAATTATTTTGCTATTTTCAATATAACTGTACATAAGTGATATCAATTGGCCAAATTCAAAAGTGTCAGAACTATATTAGCGCCATCTTTTTGCATATTGCTGTTCCTTTTTTTGTTTTAAATGCTTTCCATTAAATAAAAAAAAAATGACACTTGTTTTCCATCTGTTGTGATGTGCTTGAGCTTGATCATGTTGATATTGCCATATGAAAAGGGACTTTCCGTTTTGATTTTCCTTGGAGTTCTGTATTTTTAGTATTTTACTTTTATTCAGGATTTTTCTGGTACACTCAATAATGAATTCATAAGTTATTCTAGACGGATATAAATGTATTCAAAGTAAAGAGTCACCAAATATATTTATCAAATGAAAACCCTAAAACATTTTGCTAATATTTTTATGCCTTGTGCATGTTGTGGTAACCCCAAGCGAAAACAGGTAACGTTTACTTTTCTTCTTAAAAGATCATCTTCCAGAGTCAATTTGTATTTATACCATTTACTTGTCATCAACATCAGTCGTGTGTTAATGTATTTATACAAAACGATAATGTCCCATCTGTCGGGTAATCTATTTAAATAAAAATACCAACATTTATCATCCCTTTAATTTGCCTTCGTTTAGAGTTGTGGTGAATCGATAACTTTAATTTCGGAACCTGATTAGTTTTATGAAATTTTAATGTGGCAACAATAGCGAGTTTTCTCATACTTGTAGCATGTTCTAATCGTTTTAACTAGGTGGTACGAAACTAAAACTATTGTTCTATATTGTAACAAATAATATAATTAATTAAAAAAAATCTGCGTAAACTATATAGTTTCAATATAGAAAATTGATTACGTTTACCAAAATATAGTTTAAAGAACTGGAATATCTAGCAAATCAACACTTATCCACAAAACAATAACATTGTATATAAAGACAATATGATTATAAGCTATATGGACAAGTTTCTTTAACCGAAACGAAAGATTGAAGAACAAATCTTATTAAATAATATCAACACAAACAATTAGTGTTAAAACCAATTTGTTTAATAATACATCCAAAATATCAAGTGCATTTATACAACACAATATTTACATAATGAACCAACAATATCAATCAATCAAAAATAATTTGGCAAGAACATCTTTTTGTTTTTATCCTGGATGTTTTTCAATAGCACAATATAAACGTATGACGTAATTTGAAAGTGACACAAAGTCGATAATCAGCTGATTGTGTTTTAAAACTTTTATACTCAACAAGGATGACATTAGGTGATAATGATCTTTTACCATTAGAAATACCAGGATTATAATTTAGTACAGCAGACATGCGTTTCCCCGGAATGAATTGTACCTTTATGGCAAAATGCTCATCAACGTTTGAAAATCGTCCTTAATGAAGTCCTTTATTTTGGTTCCCTTGACAAATGACAAATCGAAGGAAAATGCATCATTAACTAAAGTTTTACTTGGGTTTCGACACCAAAAGTCATTGATTGATTTTAAGCTACATAGTTCATTGTACGTTAAACTAATAGCAATGTACGGCGCCCTATTAATTACCTCACAGCAAGTGTTTGCATGTCATATTCCTTATGAAACTAGAAATTGCTTCAAAACTGGACTGTTTTCCCTTGAAATTGGATGCATGACTTGCGTAAAGATTCGCTTTTCTTATCAAACCTGCAAGTTATTAAAAGTAACATACCCTTCGCCCTGTTGTGTAGCGTTTTCATATCTCAACTGACTTTACACGCATGAATGTGTAGATTATAAGGACTTCAATAACAGGAGGGATTGTTCTTCTAACACAAAAACATCCCCAACAGGTTTATCATGAAGAGCGACTTTATTTTACTGTTTTAACTAAATTTACGTCCAAATCAGATTTCTTACATTAAGCTACATGAGATAAGAATGATGCATTCTAAAATACATACGTCACTCAGACACACATTGAACACTTCATTGCTTTTTATTAAGGGTTTGTCCTAAGAACGTTTAAGATGGGATATGACTATGATATACATTCTAAGTTTCATTGACCATTACATTCAATTTAGAGTTCAATTTTAATACAGTATGCGACTTTCCATTATATAACACAGTGTCAATATGTAATAGAGACACAATGACCTTGATATAAGATTGGCAAAGTGTGAAAAATTAATTATTTGTTTTATGTCATGTCAAAGTAAATTGGAATATGGATAGTTAAAACTTTTATAATTCACTTTTTGAACATCAACGGCATTGATTAATATTCAGATATTTTCACCTTTCACTGTCTTAAGTATTATTCAAGCTGTTTTAAACTGTTGAAAGATGCAAAATAATAAACTACCTTTGTTATTGTTTATCCATTAATATTTGTCGTACTTAATTTTGTTTTAATTAAGTTTGATGACAACAGTCAACAGTGGTATACTACTGTTGCCTTTCTTTAATCATACCATTCAGGTCATCGTACGGCCTTCAACAATAAACAAACCATTTACCATATTCATTTACTAGTACTTCCAACTGATTGAATTACCAACTAAACAGAAATCACATAAGGTAAGGCTTTTACTCATTGTTCAAGGCCATTTGAAGACTTATTGTTACTAAATCTCTGACCTATGGTCTTCGAGAATAGTTGTATAATTGACAATTATATAACATCTCTTCATAGTTGGTATGAAATTCAACTTTAACAGCAATTTCAATTTTCTTTTGAATGATCTGTAATGTATAAGCTTGTTCACTTGCATTCAAAACTATGTATAAACTATTAGATATTTTTGAGAAGTAAAAATTGGTACTGAAAAATATATTTTCTATCCTTAAGATAATGTCACTACCAAAGGGTGTAACTGTGTATAATGGCAGTGCTCAAAACGTCTACGTCAAAGTTGAGAGTGATTGCTTGAGGGTTTCAAATTCGAAATTTGGAATAGGAGCAGATGTTGCTGGAATTGCTGGGATAGATGCCACAGTTGGAAAAAGTCAATCGTTTGATGCTAAGCCAGAAGCAGGTTATACTCTTGTGAAAAGATTCGACGATAGTTCCTTTTTGCCTCCAGAAGGGAAAAAAACTGCGTACGTTTCAATTAAAAACGCAGAGGTGACTGATGAAACCGAATATAATCATTTATGTGATGCGCATCCAGTTGCATCTAATCGAAGCGGAGTAATCATTACGAGAGAATTTTATTTGAAAAATGCAAAGAAATCATGGATTGATACGAATGGAGTGTCACATAAGCCGGGAAACACATCAGAGCGTGATACTGTTAAACCGTCAGGATTAAATCACCTTAGAAAAAAGAAGAACTAGTTCTTTACATGCTTAAATGTAAACACAAGGCTATTCAAAACGAGCTTTTCTTTTTTTATTGCTGTGACTATCGGCAAAGAATAAAAACAAATTAATATATATTTAGCATTTTTATGGTGAATTGTAAAATGTAATCAAACTTTGTAGAATAAATTTGAAATGTTTTTCTTTCCTTCTTTCCATGCGTGTTTGTTATTTATTGTGGAAACAGATAACATGAACAAATATGCAGACTGCAAGAACGCAAGGTTTAAAAATATCCTTAAAAAGAACCTACATCAAAATAATCCACCAAATATCGTAAACTCGTATCTAACCAACAATTAATATTACGTTACCTCATAATACTGTTCGAGAAACATCTAAACATTATAACTCTATATATAAGGTGTATTCAAGTATCTCAGTTCATTTCACAACTAATAGTACATAAAACATGATCAATTCCACAGACAAAAATAAAAGAAAAGAAATGACAACGTACAGTTACTACATTTCGTAATGTTCAAAGTGAGGCTTGCGCTTAAATGTAAAAGTATTTATCTCAACGTTTGCATCAAGCTGTAACGTCCTTATTTTTGTGAAATTGAATGAACATTATAGAAATGAATGTTTTCTACCTATGACTATATAATTTTGACTATTTTCTAAAGGATATTTATAGGTTTCATAACGAGTGAGAATTGGGTATCGCTTGATATCAACTCGAGTTATTTAATTTCAATATAATAATAAACGAGCCTTCAACATTTAAATAACGAGAGTTGATATCAAGCGATATCCAATTCTCACAACTTGTTAAACCTATTTCTCTTATGGTCAACACTTTCATTGTGTTAAATTAAAAATCCCGCGAATCGTTGATCTAGTTTTTGCACATACCAGTATGACGCCATATGTCCTGTTCCCATGTCAAACTTTAACATCAGACATTTTAAAACTTTTTGTGCGCTTCAGAATGTAATAGAATTTGACAAAATGAAGATTTCCAGGTGAAAAGTGTGAGTGTTTTGTATATTATTGAAGAAATAACATCTGTCTGTTTCCATGGACGAAATGTATATCGTCTTAACCTTTGAAAGTTATCAATGACCTAACGAATAGCCAATGGAAATGTCGTAATATCGTCTCATGATGCTGAATAAGCCAATCAAATTAACGCATATTTTCATATCACTTTTTCGTATCACACTCCGAGCAGTGTGATACGAGAAATATCTCTTGTTGCAAGAAATAGATAACAGGCCACAACCATAAAAGAAAAGATTTTTTATTGCAAATCATACAGTTATTCACATTAACCTAAAATCTCCTCTTTTTTATGGAAATGGTTCAACTTACATAGGAAATGAATAGTTTTGATAACTATAGCAAGTGTTTTGCAAATAATTTTATCGATTTTACACCGTAATTGTCCTTGTGACTGGTTTGTAGTATATAATAAGTTTTGTATTCAAATTCTGATTGGAACTCATACAATGGGCTGAAACTGTTTTATTTTAATGGAATTGTTAGTCCAGAACAGACAATAAATTATTTTGAAACGTATCACTTTAACAGTTGTATTGTGTATAATTTTAGTCTTTCAGATACTAAAGAAATAGTAATTATAGCAAAAATCATTGCAACTCATAGCAAGCTGAAATTCCAATATTTCTATGGAAGTATTGGACCGGTTAATTGAATAAATAGTTTTGCTATTTATGACTAGATTGTAGTAAAATGTCACCTTAAATAAAGTGAACAATTAAAAATCTAAATTTTTCATCGCAAATTATGTAACGACTGATCTTCAAATATATTAGTAGTAAATTTTTTTTTTCTTTGTCACTCATTAAAAAAATAAATTTGACCAGTAACGGAACTTAATTTAAAAAGCAAGTATGGGGAAGAAACCTAATGTACGATAAAAAATTGTTGAGGAAGAATTAATAACACCATGGGAAAATACTAAAACCCACGGGAGTTTAACAAGGGTCTACAAAACACTTAGGATCACTATGTCTTACTGTTGCGAAATAAATTTCGCACGCTCGACAAAAATATTTAGCAATGAAACAAAATGGTCAAAATATGCATATAAATCTTCTTTTTCAACACTAAATATTGCTTCTTTTAAATGCTAAAAGTACGCGTGAGTTAAATAAGTAAATATGCACATCAAAAACATTTCAAGATAATATTTCATTGAATAATTAAGTGAACTAGAGGAATATATTCACGAAGCTGAATACAAATATATCTTAATCACATTTTAATACCAAATAAAAAAAAAACATTTTCATTAATTTTATAGAAAACACGGTATTCCCCGATAAAGATTCAGTAGGATCTGCCGTAAGTGTTGTAGTTAGTATAGTTGGAACACTAATTGCTTATGAGTAGACATGTACGCGCTGAATTAAAATATACCAAAGGTATAACAGAAAATGCATATAAAGATTAACTGTTAAATTATTTACAAGTAGCACTTATACAAATGCACATTACCAAAAGTCATGATCAAATTGCCTTTTTTTAATTAGATACAATCCTTAATCAATGCACCAATAGTATAGCGATGGTCAAATCTAATAAATCGTATAAGAATACAAATCAAGGTAAAAAATAGGGAATCATATCCAAAAGGAGTGAAACTGGGTGTTAACGTTATATTAATATATCGAACGTTGTAAAACTTGCGTTTGTATAGACAAAAATGCATTACCCACATATTTTAATTATCTTTAATGGAACCATCTATTTTGTTTGCAGTAATTATGATTTATGCATATCATGATCAGTTGACTGATCAATCGATGACCGTTTACCATGTATCTAGTACTTGACGAAATCGTTCCATATATATATGTCATTGAACAAAAAGTAAAAGAATAGTCACCGATCGTTCAAGAATTCGTCATAGATCCTCCAACGACCAGTCACTAAGCAGACAAATAGTTTTAAAAAATGAAAACAAGACGTTATAAATTTGATGCATCCGAAGCACTTTTGCGGATTTACCTTCATCAGGAATGCTCAAAACCGAATATTTGAAAGCCAATAATGTATAAAACCGAAACAGTTGAAGAGCTATATAATCACAAATGACATAAAATAAAAGGTACGAGCTAACGAGTGCAACTAAAACCAATATACGTTTTTGATTAACAGTTACAACAACCTAGTAATTTGCGCTCGCAAGAGATCTAAATTGGTTTTTTTTTGTCTCTGAACAGTGTTGTCGTGTACCTTAAAAAAATTATAACAATTATTTAACTAATCGTAAGATAGCATAGAAGCAACAGACTCTATTACTACACTTCAAGTCTAAACCTCCTGATTGCACCTGTGCTAGTTCCCCATTCATATACATACATATCCGGCTGGCCACGTAATTACCGGTGACCTAAACATTGTCAATAACACTTCTCTGCGAAATGCGTTATCCAAGGCCCGAAATACCGTGAGCCTACATCCATCAATTCGAAACACAAAATCAAAATACTGATGGATTCAGTCGAGGATTATACCTGGCAATGGGTTAAACGCGAGAAAGAAGACGTAGATAATCTTTCAGAATGGATTAAGGCTGTGAGGTCGTTGATACAAATCAGAATTAAGAAACTGAATGGGTCTATTAATACCCGTGCTACATCAATCTTTAAAGGCCAAAATGTTGCAAAACACTTGCCCTATCTCCATGACAAATATGTTGTTGTCCCTGCAGATAAAGCCCCAAACAACATCGTGTTTGTGTGTAAATCACATTACATAAATTGCTTGATAAATGAATCAGGTATTGACAATTCATTTGGAACCTCATTATATAACCCCTAGACACTTACTAAAGAGGAAACCCTAGATAATCATAGGTCTGTTCTATGTTCCCTTGGAATTTCAATCAAAGATAAAGAACTGGATCTTCCATCACTGTATTGAATACTAGTACCTAAAATACATAAATGTTCTTACAAACAACAATATTGATGGGTCTTCCAAGTGCTCCACGAAACCTCTTTCTAAATTATTAACATCAATTCTATCATCAATCAAAGCCGGGCTTCAAATATGAAACTACATATTCTAGAGGTGGCGTGAATAAGATGTGGATACTAAGAAATTCCAAAGATCTTTCAGAGTACATACAATTTAAGACTCTTTCATCTTGCAATAGTATTAAAACATTTGACCTCCTACATTTTAAACAAGTATTCCCCTTTCCAAACTTAAAACAAATTGAAAGCTTTGGTCCTACTTTGTTTCATTAAAACGAATGGCCAACGTAGATACAAGTATCTTGTCCTAGGGAGGGATAAATCCTACTTTGTAAAAAAATCACTATGATTCCGACAAAAAAATTCTCCGAAACTGACATTATCAAGATGTTTGATTTCTTGATTGACAACATATTTGTTACCTTTGGAGGACGTGTTTTTCAACTATCTATCGGCATTCCCATGAGAACAAAATGTGCCCTCTTCTTGCCGACTTGTTCTTTTTTTTCATTTGAGGCTGACTTCACACAGGAACTTTTTAGGAAGGAAGAAAAGAAATTAGTAGTATCCTTTAACTTTACCTTCCGCTATATAGTTGATGTTCTCTCACTAAATAATTCAAAATTTGGTGACTATGTTGAATGCATCTATCCCATCGAAGTTGAGATAAAGGATACAACAGATACAGTTTTAAAAGTCTGCTTCATATTCTGACTTACATCTAGAAATTGACAATGAGGGTCGGTTGAAAACAAAACTTTACGACAAAAGAGATGATATCAGCTTCCCAATTGTGAACTTTCCATTTCCATGTATCAACATTCCAGCAGCGCCAGCATACGGAGTATATATCTCCCAGTTGATACGATGTTCCAGGGCTTGTATTTCCTATCATGATTTAATGATCTGGTTGATAGAGGGTTGCTGCTCACAATGAAGCTATTAAAGCAACAGTTCCAAGTGATGAAGTTGAAATCATCGTTTCGTAAGTTTTACGGACGCCATCACGTTGGTTGACCTTTATGGAATATCCGTTTCACAGATGATATCATATATGTCCCTAATGTCGTAAGCACAATCTCGTCCCCTTTTAACCGAATGAGACCTACCAAATTATACTTATTACCGGGCTTGTACTAACATGAGCAACACGACGGGTGCCACTTGTGGAGCAGGATCTGCTTACCCTTCTAGAGCACATGC